GACATAGGGCCACGCCTACCCGATCTCAGGGATTCTGATATACCTATCGGCATGCTCACTGGAACTTAAAATGAGCCACGCTGATATTAGCGGCATATTGGAGTGCGATGGTTAGGCGATGAGCCTCAGGGGGTCGCGAGCTCTTCTTTTGCATTACTGTCTAGTTTTACGCAGTGCATCTCCCGCGCCTCAATTATTTTCCTCTACAGGGGCTGTACCAAATGTTATCTAGTACCCTCACATCGAACGACGCGGCGTTGTCATTCGCATGTCTAGTGCTAAGCGTCCGGTGCCAGAAGAAAGTGCTTCGTGGACGAGAAGCGGGGTTTATCAACGCTATTCTGTGCTCGTCCACTCGATTCTTCAGAGGTCCTGCCGTCTCCCCGACGTAGTTTTCCGCACAACCTCCGCATTGAACCAGGTAAAGGGTTCTCACTACTGTTCCAAGGTGTACAGTATCGGCACGACTGTACGAGACATCAACTTTTATAAAATGTGTTAAAGACAGATTCAGGGATTGTATATGGTGGATGGTGGATTCAGTTACAAACCTGCAGTCGTTACATGACTGCTAGGGGAAGAAAAAAGAAAGAAAAAATATGGAGAACAGTGTAACGACCTGGCAGCATTTCAGGGCGGTCTCTGCACCTGATTGTTTTATGCCAGCAAGGCGACTCTCACCGCTTCCCGCTTCTCACTCACTCATCTTTTCATCTCGTCGTCCATTGCTAATACGTCTAACTAATAACTCTGAGTCTTTGGAGACAGTCCTGCGCTTAGAATTCTTTTACTTTTTTCAGGTTACTTAGTCGAATGGTTTTATTGGGTTGATTCGAAAGTCCTCCGACATTCGTGGATGTCCTCGTTCAGAAAGGTGTATCCCGCCAACTTTCAGATCTCCCGGGCAGCTCGAGAAGCCATTCAATAGAGAAGAGAAAGGTCAACAAAACCATTCTAAATGTTTGCCTGATGTAGAGGTTCGTGTCTAATATGCTGCCTGACTTCACGCCCTCTCAACACCATCTCTGCAGCGTCATCCTGTCCTTTTCTGGCCTTCATCCCAACAAGTCCCACCTACGCTTGCAGAATGTTTATAAGGATGATGCTCCCACTCGCAGCACCGTCTACACTTGGTTCGCCAAGTTCAAGAAAGGCGAGTATTCTATCAAAGATGACGAAGGGACAGGGCGGTTAACGACTGCGGCTCTGGAGGTAGGGGAGCAGGTGGAGGCGAAATTATAGCAAACCACTCGTGATCTGTCCGCCACGCTCGGTGTTAGCCAACCGACGGTGGTTCTTGGATTGAAGTTAAAAAAAGGTTAGTGCCACATGTATTATCACAAAGAGACGTGGATTGGAGATCTGCACGACAGTTTCTCTTCTCATCCTCAAAAGCACACACTCATGGCTGGACAACTAATCACCTTAAATGAAAAGTGGGTACTATACTCCAACATCCGCCGCCGTGCCAATGGGTAGGCAAAGGAGGACAAGCAGAAGACGTCCCGAAACCTGACCTGCAAAGTAAGGGATGCCGCGCATCTGATGGAGTGTTCGTAGGGTAGGATACTGGGGGCTACTCGAAGAGTACAACAGTGATTGCCGACATCTACGTTGCTCAACAACGAAATCAGAAGGATTGCCTCACAAACACATGGGGAAGGCATACCAAGTTCTACTTTCAGCGTTTCAGTGAACTCTTGACAACGCCGGACCACACACTGCGTTGGTGACGAAGTGTGAACTAGCGACGTATGGCTGGGCTGTCCTTCCCCACCCACCATACTTTCCAGACCTTGCATACTGACTATCACCTATTCGCGAACCTGCAACGCCATTTGGAGCAAAAATCCAAAACTCACGACGATGTCGAAAAGGCACGAGATGGTTTCTGTGAAGCCCAGCCAACCACCTTCTGGAGGAAGGTCGTCTACGATGTATCCACGTTGGTAAAAGACCGTAAATAATAATGGAGCGTATTTCAAATGACTAGCTTATTTGTTTCATTTTCATGCAGTAATAAATTTTAGGCTTCGAATCCAGGGACTTATCAACCTTATAGCATTGGACGACAAGGTGAAAAGATGAGTAAACGAAAAGCGGCACGATATCGCTTTCCTGGCATAAAACGAGCAGATGTGGAGAACTCGTACAGATATGCTGCTAGATCCTTACTTAAGGTGTTCAAAATGATTTCTTTTGCTTTTTTCTTGGCTGAGAGTAATTTTGTGACTATGGTTCGAAACTGAACGCCAGTATCCACAATATACAATTGCGATGTTTGACTTTGGGTCTACTTGCCAACACAGGCGTAATGTTTATCAACAACAATATTTGTCTTGTTAAACCTCTTCTCTAATTCTCTGTAATGTTTTCTTTAGCCTTGGCAATAATATTGCTGGAACTCCGTTTGAAAATCCTGAGCGAATGGCTTCTCATGCCACTGGATTTGCTCTACCAACCATACGAAGATGTTATGATCGTATGGAAGTTGTGCCACACTGCACGTACCGTCCAGGATCCCTACCCACGGTGAAATTACTGCACTCTTTATGTGGTCCACTTCATTTCTCTATGAAGCACGGAGATATTCTTCATCGATCTTCTAATCGAGAAGTTAATGTTATAGGATGATGAGCTTTCTAATTTATCTCTCACGTTCGCGGACGAGCCGTGGTTCGCTTCCCTCAAAGCCCGAAGTCATTCTGGTGTTCCTCGAAAAAGAACTAAAAAGCCATCAACTCCATCCCCAGTCAGTCTATCTGAGATGGAGGTTTGTGAATAGCATCCCTATGAAAGGAGTATTTCTATCTTTTCTGTAATGAACAACTAAGCGTCCAGGTTCGACTCTCGATGAATCTTGGCATATTGTGAAGTTTTTCTTGGGTGTTGCTGTAGCCGTAACCAAGATGATATAACAGTTTTATTGGCTAACGTTTCGGCCTTATCGCCTTCGTCAGAGCCTGGAAAAAGTCAAAGATCAAAGTGAAACTACCCTCGGACATCATTTCAAACCTCAGATAAGTTCGTCCCAGACCAGAAGGGTCCAGAAACCTGTCATAGGTCACAACCACAATACGACTCACCTTGAATGTACGGCAGTTTTCGCTTGAGATTCTCACTAAACTGACTCCCCGTGGGCTGACCTAGCCTCTCGACTCGAAGCCGATGGCAATTGAAGCCCACACAGGTCAGCAAACGGGGCGAGCTCGTTTGTGATGGCGAGGCATTCGTCCTTTCTGTTCATTTTGGGAGTTTTAGTGGGATATTCATGATCCAATTTTGCCTACTATTCTACCCCGCTGTACCTTATAAGGGACTGCAACCGGGCAACTTTTTCGGTTCCCCCCCCCATCGTCTTTGAAACTGTTCCCGCATCGGAAACTGCTTCTACTAATTTGTGGTTTTAAGAAGGATCCTGATGAGTCAGCTGACGAACATTTATCTGAAGGGGAAATGGAGCAGTACGAACCGGAAGAGGCTGATCAAACAGCTCCAAAACTACGCAGATCTCAAAGGATTCTGAACCAACGAAAAGCCAAAATGATGATTCGCCTAAGGACAAAAAAGCTTGAAAGGAAATTGGTTGACACCAGTAATCAAAAAGGTAGAATACCAGTTCATCCAGTTAATGATAATATAAACTGATGGACAGTTGCAGATAGGAATAAAACCAGTAATACTGTTGGTGAGGCTGCAACGGTGTCATCAGAAATCTGTACCAATCAGGCCAACAAACAGAGTTGCTCCACTGTGGAGAACAAACCGCTCGCTCCAGGAAAGTTCGAAATGGGGAAGAAGCGATGCCGCCGCACGTCTTCACCGATTCTGTCTACGGTAGTGTACACCTACTATGTTATGTATACCATTTTCACTTTAAATTCACCCTCTTCAAATCAGTTCTCGAGCCAAAATCACTTTTCAAATCAGACTCACACTTTCCAGACCAGGCCATTAAACAACAGATCGCGCTAGATACTACTGCAAGCCCCGCCTCGATGGGTGCGCCCACTTGTCAGCGCGGTCATGAACTTTTGAATTTTGTTCCATTATGACTGCTGCTTCTACAACTTTTTTGCCTTTTGCTGTTTTCACACACACACACACACACACACACACACACACACACACACACACTCTCTCTCTCTCTCTCTCTCTCTCTCTCTCTCTCAAAAGGGCTCTACATGGCCGACCCGCCCAGTTTCTAAAAAGTGTGCTGCAAACTTCGTGCCTTTGATTTTTTTTTCAACTTTGTCAACTTCAGATCCACTTCACGGTGTTCATGACGCGCATTTTTGTGCCTCTTGAACCACTCCCAATCCTGCGCATTTTGCAAAATTTCAATCTTTTTCCGAAATTTTCCCTTTTTGGACTGCTCCGGGTTCCCCTGCCTAGCATGAAAAGCTCCGCCTATCTCGTCACTCACTGTACAGTTTGCCACGTGTTTGTTTGTTTGTTTCTTTGCTTGTCCGTCCGGGGATTTGGTCCAACCTGAAGAACAACGACGGATCATGGTGGGAATGGGTAGGGCATGGGGCAAATGAAAAAGCACCCGTGACCCATGGAAAGCTCCACCCACAGTGGGCGCAGAGTGCGTCGAAAGTTAGCGATGTCACTGAAAAATTCTTAATGACAATTCCCGCGATCAAGTGTTGCGGGTAGTTGGTGCTCCGTCATGAACCAGTATCCCATAGGTAGCTCCTCAGTAGAAAAAGAAGCGAAAAAAACCTCGGGAACACCTTGAACACAGACCTCAGCAGTCTTGGACGAGTGTGTCAGGCGTGAAAGAGAGTGGAGCGCAAAGCCTGAACCGTGGAACCGTGGCGTTAGTGCCAGGCAACACTTCAGGTCTGGGAATTGTGTTCCTAGACCTTCAACCTCCGACACGAACATCGCATCGCTGGCCAAGCGATGCGATATTCGTGTTCGGAGGTTGAAGGTCTGGGAACAAAATTTTCAGTCTTTTTTTAAAAGCTCGATGGTAAAACTGGTCTGATGTCGGAAGATGGGGTAGTAACAATTGGATAGTGGTCCCATCTAAAAGATCATTAGGTGAGTCTGAAAACACACTAACTGCTCTTCATTTCTTATCCTCCTCTTGCCATGAGTACGGAAAACGAACTACCTGCTCTTCAGATCACGTCCTTCCCATCGCTTGCAGAGTATGAAACTCAAAAAAGGTTTGCTGCTCTTTTGTTCACATCCTCCTAATTAGAATCGCGCTTGCAAAGAACCATATGGAACCCTAAAACAGCCTAAGCGTCTTCAATTTATGTCCAACGGTGCGAGGTTTGCGCTTAATCGCTATGGAAAGCGCGGATCACCGAAGATGGCAAAGTGCCAGAAGCCCGCGCGCGACACTTGCCGCGCCGGTGTTGTAGGGTGAAGCTTGTGAGATGTCCTGTACTGCTGCAGTAGGATGTCGCCACCGTTGCCACGTGCAAATATAACTTCTTTATCGCGCCGTTTAGAGGGACGAAGGCGGTATGTTCCTTGTGAACGCGTATAGCAGTTCAAAAAGTCACGGAGTCATTTTGAGGACCACTTAAGAGGGGAGTGTCTTTGATTCGGTTCCAGAGCCGTCCCGAGATGGGGAACAGTGCAATGAAACTAGCAGAGGGCTGACAGACCAAATGGAGGAGACGTACCTGAAACCTGGGAGAGGGCGTACTTGAGATGAGCGGTGCTTTCCGTGTCACTGAAAATAAAGCCATAGTTGGCTACAGAGTAAGGAGACGGGGGAAAAAGTGGAATAAGGTTAGCTTAGGGCTGGCAGACCAAATGGAGGAGACACACCCGAAATGGGTGGGGCGTACTTGAGATGGGCGGCGCTTCCCACAAAGGTCGGTAACTCGGTTCCCGAAAATGTTTAGAGATCGCAGAAAAGTCCATGACGAAGGTGAACATCTGGCGAGAGTCCACCATATACACTGCGTCCCAAAAGTATACTTCCACCCATAAATCTCACAATATCCCTCCCTACACGACGTTTTCAAAAAAGCCTCTAGGTATAAAATGTGGTAATTACCAGTACCAATTTGCATGCCAACTCCGAGAACTGACTTTCCAGAGCAACTTCAACTTTCTTTATTTTTTGAAAATTTCTCACTCTGACAATGTCCCACAAGTATACTTCCACCGCATATTTTCCCATTGCGTCTCATTTTTTCGGGTAAACTTTCTCATCATCACTACCTTTGACCTTTTCCAGGTTATGGCGAGAGGGCTTTCACTGTCTGACTTCGAAAAGGGGCAGATTATCGCAAAGAAGGCTCAAGGACTGTCGAACCGTCAAATCGCAAGAGAGTTGGGCCGCAGTCATTATGTTATCAATCATTTTGTCAGGGATCCCGCAGGATATGGAATCAGGAAGAGTTCTGGGCGTCCTCCTTTGCTGTCTGAACGAGATAAACGTCGTATCCTGAAAGAAGCGTCCAACTCCACGATGTCATGCAGGGAAATAAAGTCATCCCTGAAGCTCAATGTCTCGAAAAATACTGTTTGGCGTGTCTTGAAGAAGTCGGAGTTCATCCTGAGAGAGAAAATGAGGAAGGCACCGTTCCTGACAGAACGTCATCGCGAAAACCGACTTGCTTTTGCTAGAAGATGCTGCCGAACCGACTGGAGCAAGGTTAGCTTTCGGCTGCGGTGCCCCTCTGCTTGTCTTTTCAGTTTTTTTTCTTTAGGTCGTGTTTTCCGATGAGAAGAAAGTTCAACTGCGACGGCCCAGATGGAAATCGATTCTACTGGCACGATCTCAGGAAAGATAAGCTCAATTTTTCGAGGCGGAACTTCAGAGGGGGTGGTGTCATGGTCTGGGCTGCGATCGCATCAACGGGACGTTTGAAGCTGTGCTTCGTATCGAAGAAAATGAACTCTTCCGACTACGTAGAGGTAATGCGAGTCTGTTACCTTTCTGGCGAAGGATACGGCATGAAAGTCCCGTATTCGTGCAAGACAATCCATGTCAGCCGGAGCACTCGAGCGTGGTTCAGCCGTCATCAAATCACTCTTTTGCCCTGGCCAGCGAATAGCCCAGACCTAAACCCTATCGAGAATGTTTGGGGCTTCATGGTACGCAGGATATACGCGCACAATGCGCGATTCGAAAATGTCCGTTCGCTCAAGGAGGCTATCATTGATGCATGGCACCATGTCGACAAAACACTTATAGACCACCTCTATTCGAGCATGGACAACCGCATTTTCGAACTTATTCGAAAGAATGGGGCTGCAATAGATTATTGAAATGACGATTTATTAAATTTGTTGTACACTTGTTGTTTTCTGAATCGATTCGTTTAGTGGAAGTATACTTGTGGGACATTGTCAGAGTGAGAAATTTTCAAAAAATAAAGAAAGTTGAAGTTGCTCTGGAAAGTCAGTTCTCGGAGTTGGCATGCAAATTGGTACTGGTAATTACCACATTTTATACCTAGAGGCTTTTTTTGAAAACGTCGTGTAGGGAGGGATATTGTGAGATTTATGGGTGGAAGTATACTTTTGGGACGCAGTGTATTTGCGGCGTGCTGAGACCCAGCCACGAGCGGAGCGTGCACCGAAGAGGGGTGAGCCAAATTTATAAATTCCTTAGTGGTTCTAGAACACTCCAGCCTGGGGAAAGTGAATTAAAGTCACCGAGGCGTCATCAATTGATGAGCGCGAGGCATACGCGTTGTGGGCTGAGTGTGCGCCGAGGTGAGTGGAGCCGAAGTAAAAAAATCCGTAAAACACTCCCAGACCACTCCAGAGACCGGGAAAAAGCGGATTAATGCCAGTGGTGGGTCACAGATTCACAGCTGTACGCACCCGTTGTGGGGAGAGCGCGCGACGGGGTAGGAGGAGCCAATCTTAAAAGTTCCTTGCACAAAGCACTTCAACCATTGCATACCTCCTCTGTGACAAGGCCCGGCCTCTTGGGGCATCGCGCCTCCTTGCTTTCGTATGATCAAATGCTTCACTATTCCCGGCCTATCTGTCCACTTGGTCAATGCTCTTTAGCTACTTACCACCATTCTCTACAAGGTTGAGAATAGCAGGTATGATGCTATTGGTCGAAGAGTTTGACAATAAATAGAAGAGATAAAAGAAAAGCATATTAGGCAGCGTTCAGACTTCGCGACGGCAGCGCTTTGTCGCGCGTTCGACGCGATCAATGCAGTCGAAAGCATGCGCATCGATCGCGTCGAACGCGCGACCGAAGCGCTGCCGTCGCGAAGTCTGAACGCTACCTTAGGTGGGTATTCAAATGCGTGGGAGAAGGTAAGCGCAGCGGAAGCCGCGCCCGTAGCTCAGAAGGGGGCGCGCCGACGTAAGCGGGAGCGCCAGCGTCAGCTAACGAGGGGGGGGGGGAGGGAATACGGCCACTGGTATCTGAATAACTCTTCTGGATTCCGAAATTTCTAGGACTCGAGAAGCGATCATGATCGCCGAGCTGTTCATGCGATAAAACGTTCTCGAAGTGCGTCAAGAGTTATGGACTGCAGTAAGAACGACACCAGAGCAATTTCTATAAATGAACTCACCAAAGTAAAAGATGATGAGGCCCTGAAGTCAGTGGCAAAATCAAATAAAGCGATCGATTTTCAATTCATAAACCCTAGCAACAACGATCGATCATGTTAATCTAATGTCTCGGTCCTTTTCAGTTGTTATTGAGCGTATTATCATTACCAGTGAACTAGTCTAGAAATTTTTTTGAATAGTTTTCTTAGTAGGCGCTGAATACGGCGCAAAGCGCTGACTACCGTTGTTTGATGAAAATGTTGTTTCACTCTAGTTGTACGGTCCATTTCATGTATCTGGTCAGAATGAGGTTTACATCTGGATTATAC